AAGTCCCCTGAGAAGTCAGATAAAGACCATAGAAAAAGTGCTCCAAAAAGAAAGAATGAGAGAACATGGAGATGAGGAGATACAGTGTGTGTGTTTGTACATGTAACTTTCAAGAATGAAAACACCGGCTAAATATGAACATTGCAGTGGTAGTACCTGTGCCAGGGTCCCATGCTTTTCCAGGTCAGGGGTTCAGCAGAAGGATACACCTGAATGCATAGCTCCTGCTGTGGTCTGGAACATTCCTCCGGGCTTCAGTAATGACCTCCTAATGGCACTAATGAGCCTCCACAGAGGAGCCGTGCTCCACATGGGTCTGGTGGAAAGGAGAGGGGAGCGAGGGCAAGGGGGGGGGGGGACAGATAGAAATTGGGAGAAAGTAGGATGGCATTGAGAGATATATCGGGATATCACTTGGTATCTCTCTTTAAACATTAACCACACTGTAGGTGCCATGTACAGATTTCATTCTGAAACTATTGATGTTAAATTTTAAACTATAATGTTTTGTTTACAGGCAGCATGGTTTCTTTGTATGTCTGTAATAATGTCTAGTTTTCCAAGGAAGGTTAAAATGAAGGAACTGGACTTGGTTGAAGATACTCAAAGACGTTTCGTCCCTCATCCAAGAGACAGTTCCGCCTGACTCATCTATTTTTACAGCTAACTCAGCCATTTTATCTCTGTGGGGTCTTGTCAAAGATGATCAATACCACTGCTTTGTTAGTGCTCCTGGATGTTGTAACGAGAGTTGTTATGGTTGTTCGAGCCAACCCTGATTTTAACCTTCCTTTGGTAACTATGACCTGAATGACTGAGAACCTTCACAGACAGTGTCTAGTGTTTTTCAAATTCAACAAGCAGATTGTAATTTAATCTCTTCTTCCCCATGTCTTTCTCATCCTATTTCTCTTCTTGCCCTTTCTACCCTCTCTTGTCTTGTCTTGATGCTGTTGTATGTGGAGGTGAGTTATCCATGGGCGAGTTCCAGGATCCCTTCCTCGTCAGCATCCACCTCATTGCCGACCCTGGTCAGGGCAAGTTCCTGCAGCGCGCTGCTGATGCTGTGCTGGCGTGGGTTCACCCTGAGCTGCAGCTCTTCCGAGTCTCAGAGCGGGCCTCCGTCTGCCAGCGGCACTGGCCTAAGCACCATCAAAATGGCAGCCCGACTGCAGCCTGCCAGCCGGCCCTAGCAGTTATCCTATTCTTCCAGGAGGCATACGGTGGCGAGGAACAGATACTGATGCTGCACCGCACTCTGCAGAGGCCACCTTGGCGCTACCACCACACTGAAAAAGTCAGCAATAGCCGGCGGATGCTACCGCTGACACCATGCAGTCAGGACTTTTTCACTCTGTCTCCTGGCACGCCGCTCTGGGCGGTGCGGCAGGTCCATTATGGGAAAGAAATCGTGCGATTCACTGTTTATTGCCGGCATGAAAACTATGTCTACATGGTGCGGCTTTACAAGCTGCTGCTTCAGAGGAGGGTAGCACAGAAGAAGGAGGATTTTTGCTTCTTTGTGGTGTACTCCAACCCAGAAATGGAGATCCAGCTGTCTTTTAAGAGGCTCCCACGAGGTCAGAGTCCAGTGGTGCTGGACTCGGCAGTGATGGAGGTGAGGGTACGAGATGTCGGGGCACTGGTGCCCCTGCTGCCACACCCCTGCAGCCCTATCAGTGAGGTCCGCTGGCAGACAGAGGACTACGATGGAAATAAGATCTTGCTGCAGGTGAGAGTACTTTCTGTTGGTGCCAGTTTATACCTGCACCAAATAAATCCATTCTCCATTTTTGAATTTTCGAGTGACAAATACAGTATAATACACTATATAGTAACATGTGGCCTTTTGAAAGCACTTTAACCTTTTGCTCGTAACTCCTGAAACATAAGGCTTAGAAATAAAATAATTTTTCCCTGATTTCCTTGGATCAAGACAAATCTGTCACTATATCAATTTCTGTTATTACAATAACAAGTGAAGCTCTTTTCTCAGTCAGAGCACTGTAGTCACCAGGTTGCAGGACAGAATTACAGAAAGAAGGCCTGTTTACTTATTCTATATCTGTGTTCATAAATGTGTATAAGAAAAACAGAGGGAAAAGTCAGTGTCTTGGGTGAAAGAACAAGAGAAGCAGAGCGAGAGAGAACTGAAGGAAAAATGGGTGTAAAACAAATTCTGCAGCCAAAAATAACAAACTCATACAGCAGACAAAGCACCATAGCGTCTCCTAAATTTGTATCCATCCAACCATAAATGTATGTTCATCCATCCTTCATCCAGACTGTCAAAAGTGTGCACACATCTAACTGTTCAAAAATGATCAAACAAAGATGTATATCACTAGCAAACGTGTGTGAATGAACGCACGCACACACACAAAATGGTCCTTGTTTGGAGGGTATCGGTTTCATTGGGGATGTGTGTCCAGGCAGTGGCAGATAAGTAGTTTTGAAAGTTAAAGCCGATTAAGCAGCAGGTCATTAGTGGGAGTGAAACAGCACTGAGGGAAACAACAAGCTAATCTATCATGACAATGGACCATATGCATGATGCTTAACTGCCACCTGGCCTAAAGTCATGTGGTCGCACTGTAACACGCTGCATTACAATGTGTCATGACTGACACCAGGAAGTGGTTAGCAGATAGAGTTTCATGTCTTGTGCTAAGAAGTTTGAAATATGGTTACCCCAAAATGTCAAACTAATCCTCTAAAAATACTTCGTGTATTGAGTTGCAGAGTCGTGGTAGTATGTTCTGTAGTAGTTCTGGAAGTGTTCTTTAATGATATCCCTAGTGTTCATTGACCCAGAAACACAGTTTAATTATTTCAGCTTCTTTTCTGAGGAAATAGTGTTTTTTTCAGTTTGATATGGCTGATGGCTCTAAATATTATAATACCAAACCATACGTAGAAAACATTGTTTCAGTGTCACAATTGGAAACTAAACACTGCACCACAGCTGCCAAATTAATCCAACCCGAATCTGAAAGCGGACGGATTTAAACTGCTGATATGACTGATTGTTTTACCAGGTTTCTATGAAGTGCTTTAGCTCTCCACTAGCAGCTTGAGAATTTGAAGCTTTATGATTGGATGTTTCATAGTAAAGTGCACCAAGGGAGTCTTCGTTGACTGTACATAGGGGTGTATCTTGGGTTTTTGTCAAATAATCATTCTAACACAGTTATTCAAGTTTTATATTCATTTAACTGAGTTTCATTTCCATCCAAGCCTTGGAAGTGATCCAAATGTCAGTCACCTGACAATGTGGCTACAGAAATGAACAATTGATTGATTGATTATCAAAATAGTTTAAAAAAAAAAAAAAAAAAAAGGTTAAAGCAACATTATGAAAGATTTGGTGTTTTTGCGACTTGGCACCCCTACATTTTCAGAGTGTAATTCACCGCTGTCGTAAATAAGGACAGCTGTACACGTCTGCCATGACATCCATCTTTAGAATACAGAGCATGTGTATGTGTGAGGTTCTCAGTATAGTATGTGAATGATTTTATGTGTATGTGAGAGAAAAATAGCCACTCATACTCCAGGCCCGGCGTGGCAATGGCAGAGATGCCTTTCTCCCTATTACAAGTCAGTGTGCCATCAAGATTATTTATGAAGCTGTTATTTTAATTTTCTATCAACTAATCATTTCGGCTTTGACATTTTTTAATTTAAGTTAACATTTATTAACTTCAGTCATACATTTTCTTGCTTCTGCAGTAACTTGTAGTTGAGGATTAGTGTTCATTTGTGGTGTTTTTGGCTTGCCAAGGTCAGATCTCTGGCTGACCGTGCTCATCCCAACAAAACTAAAGCTTAGAGTAAGGGTCTGATCATTGCCATGTCAACAACCTCATTACCCAGCACCCCCTGCTGTGGCTGCTTACCAGAATTGTAGCATGTTGTCCTCACGGAAAACTGAACAGATACTGTCATGATGCATTAGCAGACGAAGGCACGCACGCTTTCCCCCCTAAACATGCACAGAATTAGTTTCAGTAAATAACAAATGTGTGCCGTTGACCTGCAGCATCTTTGGGATAACAATACACACACACAAACCCGTCCTGCTTTGGCCTCCCTCAAGTGTCATCATGTTTTAAACCACAGTGCTCAACAGTGGGCGACAACACTCACTGCTTCTTTGTTTCCTGTGTGGAAGATAAGTATGCAGCCGCACAACCACTTTATGGCTAAGAGGGAAGAAAAAGTGACTAAGAAAGTGTGAAGAGAGTGAGAGAAGGATAAACAGGAGGCAGTAGACTGCAGAGGAGAGAGAAAAGAGGACAAAGTTGGTTAATAAGAGAGGAGAGACATTGACATTGGGAGAGAGGAGAAAACACTGGGGATTTGTTACACTCTTTCACTTTTGTCTTCATACATACGGACACATTTGTACTCTCATTCTTGTGAGGACCCTCATTGACACAATGCATTGTGTCAAACTGGCAAAATCCAAGGACAGAACTGGCAGTGCAGCAACAGACAGAACACACATCATATGGCAATGACCGGACGGGGACTGAACAGAAAAACCAAACAT